ATAATAAGAATTAATAGAAAGACTTCTTTGTTAATATTGAAATACAATGATACAATAAATCGAATCATCCCAATATGTTGGATTTATGACACCTACACTAACATATCTCTTCTCCAACTAGTGCAAATATATTGTTTAGACTATTTAGGCAAATGTACTACTAAGTTTATTAAGGTCAAACACCTTTTTTCATATACTAATTTAGTCATTTAAGGTCTTTCAAATACTAAAAGAGGATTTTTTTTTTTTTGTAGCAAATCATAGATCGTTAAAAAAGGAATAAATCTTCACCTTACGATCAACCAATAAGACATAAAATTCAACTATTCATATAAGTCGAGTATCATAACCTTATCAAATATGTATAAAATCTAATACTAATGTATTTGATATGTAGTTGTCAATTAGTAATTTATTGATGAAATTCGATTAAAATTTGCATCATTTGATGAAAATAATTAAGAGTTTGCATATTATAATTCAAAAGTCAAGTCTTTCACACCATGTTTCTCGTTTCTCTTATTTTATTATTCAAAGAAGTCAAGACTCTATATGCTTCATTCATACTAAATATCTCTTACAATTTTATAAGGATCGGCTAGATCATTGAATTCCAAACAAGATCATGAAATGTTGTTCCTTAATGGCTCTTGTAGCTAAGAGGTAAGCTGAAGAATCTCTCCCGTGCATGTATCCAGTCCAAGGATTTTATTGATTCCAAGTTTAAGGAAATGTGAAAGGCTTTTTTCCTCCGGGGCTAGATATAGCCAAAATGCATTTAGTCTAATTACTAATGCTACAATTTTATTTTTTTGCAATGAAAAGAAAAACAAAGACTAGGCAAGACACATGAACCGAGCTCTATAAGTTACTTACTGGTTGGAAAACTAGTTCATATCATTTTTTTTAACTTCGTTGCTCATATGATATATAGTGCGGTATAGCTTGAATCAATTATTAATTAGTCCCTTTTATTTTGAGAAATGAATTAATTAGCCCTTCTCATTTTAAAAATTAATTATTTAATGTCTTACGTTTTAATTACGTCAATAACTAAGTCCTTTCATCAGTTTTCTATTGGATTAGCGATGAAGTATTCTACTATAATATTTTTTATTCTTAAATTACCAAATTGCCTTTTATATCCCTTATTTTTCTCATTCACCCATTTTTGTTCTCTCTCCTTAATTATTATGGTGACCTCCACTTCACCCTTCTACAATCATGATCTTTGCAATGCTCATTTATGAATATTTACAAGGCCTTATCATCCGTAGTCATAGAAAAACAAAGATTAGCATCCCTAAGATCCATAGCATTTTGAACCATATGGATATTTGTTGGCTAAATTTTCGCAAGTGTATCCACAAATTCTTTTATCTTTCAAACCAATTTCCTTTTATTGTTCCTCAAATTCCTTTTTTGTTTCAAACTCCTTATATTGTTGCCTAATCGTTTTCCTTCTTAATTCAACTTTTTTAATGCATTCTTCAAGTTCATTCTCCTTCAATTTGAGCACCTCACATTGCCTCTTAACCTTCGTTTCTTAAATTCTTTACAACTTTACTCAAATTTCTTTCCATTCAATTCTAGCCCTTTACATTGTTCTTGAATTTCATTTCTCATCAATTTAATTTCCCTAAATCTCTTCATAACCTTCTCATCGTTTGATTTAAATGCATTACATTTCTCAAAAAAAAAAAAAAATCGAAAATATCTCTAAACCATTTACCAATATGCTACTCTTTAAATTTAAGCTCTTTATACTTCTCTTTAACTCGTAACTCTTTCACCTTCAATTCACTTAAAAGTTTCTCATACTCCTTTTTCACTAGCTGAAAAAAATTGATAAAGAGGTCATGGTGACATTTGAGGAGAGAGAAAGAAAGTTAGTGAAGAAGAGAAATAAGATATAAAAAAAGGATAATTTAGAAACAAAAAATACTATAGTATGATATCTCATTTTTAATCTAATAGAAAACTAATAAAATAATCAAGTTATTGATGAAATTAAAGCAAGAGGACAAAATAGTTAGTTAAACAAGGAGGACTAATTAATTTGTTTCAAAAAACAAGAAGGACTAATTTATAATTTACTTTATATAGTTTTACTAATTTCTTTATGGGCTATTGATCCATTCAAGTAGTGCTTGGGCTATTTTACTCGGAGATAAAATATATTAAACTTAATATAAAATAATGGCATTTATCCATTATCTTCTAGATCATGACCTAGCCTAAGAAATTATATATATATATATATATATATATATATATATATATATATATATATATAATGGTTTTCATTGTGTAGTCATTATTTTTTTTCATTGTTCACTCACATTCATTTTCACTATTCAACCGCACTTATTTGTACTCGTGCATTTTATTGTTTATGACTCGGCTTGCCAAATTTTTGCACTTTGGTCTCTCATTTTTTTAGAAACTATTTTTTGATGTCAAATTTCGTTTGTGTTTCATTTTGGTCCTAGACGACTTGGAGGATAGAGAAGCAAAGAGAGAGAGAAGGAAGAAGAGAGAGGGATGGTATGGCTCATTTCGACCACCTTTATCGTCAAACTTACCATCATTTTGTTCGTCTCGAATAATAGAGTCCGTTTATAGTAGTCATAGGTCATGGAATGATAGGAAAAGGTAGATCGAGATTTAAAATTATTTTGAGTTTATTTATTTATTTTGATTGTGATTTTCATTATGTAGTCATTAATTTTTCACTATTCACTTATACTCATTTTCACCATTCGCTCACACTCTTTGCACTATGTTTTTTACTATTTACAACTAAGTTTGTCAAATTTTTACACTTTGGTCTCTCATTGTTTAAGAAACTTTTTTTTTATCTCGAACTTCATTTGTGTTTTATTTTGGTCCTATGCGACTTGGAGGAGAGAGAAGCAAAAATAGAGAGAGAAAAGGGAGAAAGGAGAGGGGAGAGGGATGGCGAGGCTCATTCCGACCACCTTGACCATCAAACTTACCACAATTTTATTCGTCTTGAAAAATAGAGTTTGTTTAAAGTGGTCGAATTCATGAAATGGTAGAAAGAGATAGATCGAGATCTAAAATTATTTTGATTTGAATTTTTTTCTTTTGTGCATTAAGATAAGGTTTGAGGTTATAAAAGAGTTTGTTGATGCTATTTTTATAATTTTCGATTGTTTTTTGGGAAAAAAAATGGAATTGACTTTGGTTTGAGAGGCCAAAAAACTCAACTTTTCGATGACTTTTCCGTGAAATCTAGGTCGCCGAAATTGCATGTAGTCGGAGATTAGAAATAGCTTTTTTAAATAAAAAAAATGACGAGCCCGGTCCTTTAGGCCCATGAACACATGCCGTGTGCTCCAAGCCTACACCTTGTTTTTTTTTTCTTTAATTAAGAACTTTTAAGCAAAAAATAATAAACATCAAGTGTTATTATTTTTATTTTTCATCCAAGTGTGACAATGATATATATATTTTAAATTAACATATATTTTTTAAATTATATTACTTTTATTATTTAAAGTTTATTTTTTGAATTTATAATTTTTTATGAACATTCTCATCCAATTATTTTTTTTATAAAATTTTATTTATTGATGAATATAATTTATTTATTTTTTCTATATTTGATTTTTAGAATAAAATTTTAAAACAAGATTTCTCTTTTTTTTTAAATAAATTAATATAATATATATCATGAAGTTTTAGGATTTTTAAATGATAGTGACACACACACAATATATATATTGAATCATAAGTTTTATTAAAGATTGACTATATATCTTTACACATAGCACCAACTATTTACCATTATTTTTTTAAATTATAGAACTAATTTTTAAAAATAAAATAATTAAAATATATATTTTTAAAAGAACCATCAAATAATTCAATTATAATTTTTTATGCTAACATTATTAATTATTTTATAAATAAATGAATATAAATCAAATATATATATGTATATTTTTAAAATGATTTTCTCATTAGCATTAAATAAGAATAAAAATTTATTTGTTTCATTTGTTAATTTTATACAAGTCTATACATTAATTATACCTTTTTTTTATATAATTTTATAAAAAAATATATTTTGAAAGTTTTTTTGAATTCTTCATTAATATTTTAATTTAAATTATTATAAATTTTTATTTAAGAATTAATGCATAAAGAAAAATCAATCATGTTTTTTTAAATAAAAATTTTATAGAAAATATAAAAAATAAATTAAATGTAAATTTTAATTAAGAAATTAAAATGATTTTGCAGCGTAGGCAACCGTCCATGAAATCGCTAAACAGAACAAAATCAACCCATTGGCCATTGCCAGTGGGTTTCGACGAAAAAACTAGTGTGTATTATTTAACAGCAAAACCTTCAACGTTTTTCTTTCTTTTTCTTCATCTCACTCTCGGCCTTGGTTCAGGCTTCAACCCCAACAGCCACTGCAACACCAAAATCCACAACCCTTTGCCTAACCAAGAGAAAAAACAAAAAAAGATTGTCAATATTAGATTTGGGTTTTGTTTGTGAGTGGTGGTTTTCCATGTGTTCTTTTTAGAATTCTTTTTTGCCATTTGCAAGGTTAGAAACAGAGTTTGTTGATTTTGGGGGTCGAATCCAACCAACCATGTCAACTTTTAAGTCGCCATTGTCATGAATTGTTTGCCCTTGCCTTCAATTTGCTAAGTTATTGCTGCCATTTTTCTTGGTTTTATCCTTTTTTTTTTTTTCCCTTGTTGTTGCTGCCATTTTTTCCTTCGTTTTGGTAAGCTACAACTCTTGGGAGATATAGCAGCTGATTCATGGCCTTATGCAAAGACAAGTGCTCCATGACTTGCAAAAGCTTCTCGAAGCTTTGCTAGGAACCGAAGAAGTCTTTATATAATTCCAGCAACACTAGCCAGCCCGGTATTCTCCCTCTCTCCTCAATTTAAAGTTCCTGTTTTTAATACTCACAATTTTCTGTCTATCAACAAACACGTCCCTATATACTTATGTTTCTCAAATTTCGAAACTTTCCCCATTCAATAAAATCCACACAGCTAAAAACCCAAAACCCATATGTTGAATTGTATAGAGACTGTCATTTTGATTCAAAATTGGGTTTGGATTCTTCAAGCCTGAAACCAACTTTATCGCCTAAACAATCCCAAAACAATGTTGCAATTTTCTGGGATTTGGACAACAAAGCCCCCAAAACAGTCCCTCCATTTGATGCTGCTATTAAGCTTAAAACTGCAGTGTGTTCATTTGGGTTTGTTAAGTATATGGTGGCTTATGCTAATGCTCTAAGTTATGTGCCACAAGGCGTGAGAGAGGAAAGAAAAGAGAGAAAGTCGTTGAATCAGTTAGAAAATAAGGGTGTGATTAAGCCTGTAGAACGTTATCTCTGTAGAGTTTGTGGGAGAAATTTTTATAATAATGAGAAGTTTGTCAATCATTTTAAGCAAATTCATGAGCACGAACAACAGAAGAGGTTGAATCAGATAGAATCAGCAAGAGGGAAAAGGAGAGTTATGTTAGTGGCTAAGTATGCAATGAAGATGCAGAAGTATAAGAATGCTGCGAGGGATATTTTGGCTCAGAAAGTGGGGTATGTTTTGTCTGATGAGTTGAAAAGGGCTGGGTTTTGGGTTAGGAATGTGTCGGATAAGCCACGGGTGGCAGATGTGGCAATGAGGGATCATATGGTAGATATGATGGATAAGAGGAGAGCTGAGTGCTTGGTGCTTGTATCAAAGAATTCTGATTTTGTTCCTGTATTGAAGGAGGCTAAATTGAGATGTTTAAAGACAATTGTGGTAGGGGATGTTAATGATGGGGCATTGAAGAGGGTTGCTGATGCAGGGTTTTCTTGGCAGGAAATTTTGATGGGGAAGGCTAAGAAGGAAGCAGAAACTGTTGTGGGGCGGTGGAAGGACCGTAATATCTTGAAGAGATTGGAGTGGACATATAATCCAGAGGTAGAGAAAACATTGCATGGTGTGGTTGATGAGTTTGATAATTATGGATGTGAGGATGAGCATGATGATAATGATGGTAAGGATGGGGATGTTGATGATATTCTTGATGGTGATGATGTTGGTTGTTTGCAAAAGAAAGATGCCAGAGGTTGGTGGGAGTTGGACTGTGATCCTGATGTCACTTCTTCGCAATCATGCTGATCATAATTGGTGGTTAGATGCGCAATCAGTTTTATGGCTTGGGTGAGTGCACAATTGTCTGGGACAGCAATTTAGAAAATGGTATGAGCAGAAACATCACAAAGCACAGATGATCACACCTGTACTGTAAGTAAATGAGATGTATAGATCTGTTAATAATTAATCTGTGTTTTTTAGAGTTATTTTCAGTCATTATTTCTTGAATAGTACTTGCAGTCCAAGTTAATTGTTTCTTGTCATTTACCTTTTTTTCTCTGCCTGATTAGTGTTTATTTTCTTTCTTTTTAATCTGCGATGTTGAAATCTGCCATGTGTCATTTGCTTCAATAAGTAATGATGAATACTGTCTTGCTGCGCTTAGTTTCTGGCTTCTTCACCACGTTCTGGTCCAGAGAAAAGGTGGTTGTTAGGGAGCTCGTAGCCTCGCAAAAGATAAAAAATAAAATAAATTACTCATTTATTCTAATGTTTGAATCTTGATTAATTGGGACAAAATTCTTAAAATTTTTAACACAAAAGAATGATTTGTGTTTTTTTGCAAAGGATCTTTTGAGCTTAGTAGCATATAGTCCTAGTGCTGATGGAAATTCCAAAGGCAGAATTTGTTGCTTGTTTGATAAATAATTGGAGAGTTGTATGAATTGCTACTTGGGAGTCAAGTTTTTCACATCATGTTTCCTGTATTCCTTGTTTTGGTCATGGAAGTTGAGACAATTATTTGCTTTATTTTTTTATTTAAAAATGCTCTTGCTTTTTTTTTTCTTCTACATTTTCAAGTTTTATCATGTTCACATGTAGCTGAGCCATCTGTTGCTTCTTTGCACAAAATATCTCCAAAACTTTTATAAGGACTAGCTTTATCACAGATTCACAGATCTTCAAACCCTAATTATGAAGGGCTATTCCTCGGTGACTAATATTGCCAAGAAGTACCAAAATCAATCTCTCCCATGTGATAAATTGATCTTGCTAAGAAGCACTTTTGAATCAAGTTTGGCATTAAAAGATTTTGTTTTATAGAGGGCAAATTTTAAATTGCCCCCTTGAGGTTTGAGGGATTTCTCAGTTTTTCTCTTAAGATTTTGTTTGTATCAATTACCTCTTTGAACTTTCATCAATGTTTCTTACATTTATTAAACTAACAAACCTAATAATATGACCTTGTTTATGTTTCAATTACTTTCTAAAATATTAAGAAAATCTCAATCAAATATTTATCTTTCAATTATATTAAAATTCATCTAATCAAATTTGAAAAAAAACAATATAAGTAGTATTATTTCAATTGCGAAATGCTACATCATTGGTTACTAGTTCGAATTTATAAATATTAATATGATTTGAAGGATTAATATGGGAATTTCAATTATGATTTGGACAAATATATTTGTGTGTGTGTGTGTGTGTCTATTGTATTAGCATTATTAATTTTATTATATTAAACCTTGCGTTTTATAATTAACACGTTTTTTTTTTTTTTTGGGGGAACAATAATATGAAACAAAAGATATCATGCTATGTTAACTTTATTCTGTATTTTTTTAATGAAAAAGTTATGTTAAGTTGGTATTAGATTGTTATGATTTTATTAAAATATGCAAAAATTATAGTTCGATTTTTTATATTTTTATTAATATTTTTTTATATGTTAAAAGTTCATATATTTGAGAAAAATGAGATCAAAAAGGAAAATATAATCTTAATTGAAAAAACAAGATAGTAAATATGATTGAGAAATGCATACTTAAGTTATACTTTTTAAAAATTTTAGAAAGTCAATTGAAACATAAAAAATGTCACATCTTTAGTTATGTTAGTTTAATAGATGAAAGGGAAGACTTGAAACTTTGATTAAAGCTTAGGGGTAAAACCCCTAAAATCTCAGGGGAGGCAAATTAAAATTTATACTTTTGTAATATCTTAAGTTGGCTCAAGAAAAATATAGGAATTAGAACAACAAATTAAAATTGTTTACTAGGATTGATAATTCAAAAGTTGCAGCTTAAAAATTATGGAACTAGATCGTTGAGTAAAGAACTTTTGAACTACATATATTTTGTAACAAGCAATCAGCTTATGCTTACAAAGTATCAAAGGATGCAGTTGTTGGCCTAACCAAGAACTTGTGTTGTGAATTACTACAGTGTGGATAGGAGTTAATTGCATTTCACCTTCAGCAATACTTGCAGCTACGGTGGTTAAAGCAGTGGCTGCTATGGATAGAAAGACACTTCAAGAAATGATTTCTTCCACCGACAATTTGAAAGAGGTGATGTTAGATGAGAATGATGTGGCAGAGGCTGCTCTTTAAGTATGCGAGTGGGATGAATATGGTGATTGACGGGGCTTACAGCTTGATGAATCCAGGTTCTGGATAGGGATTCTTTTTGAGACAGCATGCTGGAAAGACTTCTTGACTAGTGCACATTTTCTACTGCTGAGTAATCTTAGAATCATACGTCCATATAACCCTAAAATATTTAAGTGTCTGAAGTTAAAATGTCACCACTCAAGTGTTTTCATTGCTAGATCATCAAATGCAGAATCCAAAATCATTATTGACTAAGGATTTCGTTTCCTTCTCAAAATTGACTTTTCCATGTATGTCTTTCAATCTTCGATTGTCTGAAGCTGTACTGATATATTATATTAGACTAAGTAATGCGTCTCCCATGCAACAGTGCTCAAATGACACGAGTTGGTTATGTTGCTTGCTATCTTGGTATTGCTGTGTCATCTTCCGATCATTCCAAGATTTCAGAAACTATTGTCCTCTTTTTTTTCCTCTCTTAACGAAACATTTCAAATCGTTTACGCTATTTGATTTTCCGTAACATATATTTATGTTATTATAAATATATTTTAGATTAACAAAGAATTAAAAAAGTTTTAACATAACGTGAAGACTGTATAAGCCTTTTCTTTCAACTCTTGATCAGGGAAAAAGGAAAGCCACAATGGCCATGTTTTCGCTTCAGTATGCTCATAACCAATCACCATCTATGGTTTATGCACAACTTTTCACGTTCATTTGGAGCACCCTCATTACAATTTTCTGAACAAGAGCATGTTAATTATTGCGGGGAACAAAATGGCAGAAAAGAATTACAACGAAACAAAAATTGAAATTATAATGTTTGTTTAGAACGAGGAGAAACAAATTTGGTTTCATCTTCATCACTACGCCAGGCGGTTTCGTAGTGTATTCGAACGTGATTTTACGCCTATGGATGCTTCTCTTCTGGTCTCCAATATTTTCTTCTTCTTTTGTTGCTATTTCTTTTCTTTTCTTTTCTTTTCTTTTTCTTTCTTTATGTATAGTCTTGAAAAAATGTGAAGAAAACATTGGAGGTGTGAGCTTTTTTTGAAAAGAAAATATAACATTGAATTCAAAAAAGCAAGAACAGATTTTGGAAACCTTTCGCTGACGATTACTTCTTAAAGTACTTAATAAATTTGTCAAGATTTTGTAAGGTACTGATACAAAAGGAACGTTCGCAAATTTTCATTAAAAAATTCCAGACAAATCTTATTCTTTCTTTTTCAAAATTTTGTGTGATGTTAACATGAAATTATTTAACTACAAAACATTATTTTTCAGAATAATATCACAACATTATTGTTACATTACATCCAAAAAAAGATGGTAGTTTTGGCATGACAATCAACATTTCATCAGGATGAACGTCCATGGCTGGAGCAATAGCACTGGGATCACTCTAAATGGATTCTTTCCACTGCATTTTTCTTCTTTGGATTTTTTATTTTTATTTGTATAAAGATGCATGTTATCACATTTATAGAAGAAACCATCAAATCACATAAACAAACAAGAAAAAAAAACTTGCAATACTTTAAAAATTACAAAAAATAATAGGAAAGTTTAAGATATTGGAGAAAGTTAAAATAAATAATAATAATATAGAGACCACAACTTAAACAAATTTTGGCTTATTTGTTTTTAAATAAATGAGAACTCAAAGAGTATATAGATAATTAACATGAAGAGTATTTAGATAATTACCATAATCATCATGCAATAACAATAAAGTCAGATTGCATCACCTTAGTCCAACCAAACCGTTTCAAATTATTAATTTAACAAAATACAAAGAATTTTGGGATAATTACTAGAAAAACCTTACAAAAAAATCTTCCATATAAAAAACTCACAAATGTTTTTTTAAATCTCTCAAACCCAAAATAATATTTTTCTTACCAAAAACACCTAATAATTAACTCTAGTGTTAACTATTGGTTGCTTTGGTAAGAAAAATATTGTTTTAGGCTTGTGAGATTTAAAAATATTATTTTATGTTTGAGAGATTTAAAAATAAAATACTAAATTTTTTAGATTGAAGATTGTTTAGAAGATATTTTGGTAATTATCCCTAGTTTAAATGAAACTATTATCTTTCAAGATATGTATTTCTATTATGTTTTATTTAATTAATGCACTAAAATATGTTATACATTCATCTTGTAATTTAATTTAATTGTTTGATAAAAAAATGTTGAGTTTTGATTAATTAAAAACTATTATTACCGATGATGCTTTTTTTTCTATCAATATATTAGGATTTTAGAAATCATTAATGTTCGTAATCATACATATTTTATTTTTCTTATTTGTATGATAACCCTTTGATTAAATTACTAGAGAATGACAAGAGTCTCATTTCATCAATATTAATTAGTTAAATTGTCTCGGTTACTATAATTACTAGATAGTAAAATTAATCTCGTAATTAATAAAACAAATCGTCGATAAAAAAAACTCTAATATAAGAAATTTTTTAGTATAATAAAAGAAAAGTAGTCGAATGTTAGTGTTTAAAAGTCAAGGAACCTCAAAAACTTTTTTTTATTTCAAATGCAATAAAAAAAAAACTTGACTTGATCATGAAAAAAAATAATAATTATCAAACTCATTAAAAACTACGGAATGAGTTTATTATTAGATAAAAACTATAAGAAAAAACTCTAAAAAAAATTATGTCTAAAAAATTCATCAATTTATTTTTTAAATCTCTCAAAACTAAAAAATAAATAAATAAATAAATAAAATAAAAAATTCTTACTCGAAACATCCAATAGTTAACTAATGTTAAGTTAGAGATTAACTATTTGGTGTTTTGGTAAGAAAAATATTATTTTGGGTTTGAGAGATTTAAGAATAAATCAATGGGTTTCTTGGATATAAGATTTTTTTAGAGAGTTTTTCCGGTAGTTATCCCAAGAATTTTTTTTGCCTTTTATTTTACAAAAATATTTATATTAGTATATAGATTTAATTTGTGAATAAAAAAAAATCTGATTTCGTTTTCCGTATTCAAATAGAGTCGAAAGGGTAATTAATTTTCTTTAAAAAAAACAAGGAGTAATGATTTCAAATTTCATAACAACGTGTTTTTCTTTAAAAAACCTATTAGTAAATAGTATTTAAACTATTTTATTGTCTTGATAAAATAGTCTAAACACCTCAAACGAATAAAAAAATTAAGGAATGATAACTAATTAAATGATCCTCTCGTGACGATCCGTAATGTAGAAGAAGTCTTCTTAAAGTTTGAAATGGATATTTTAAACTTTTCAGATTGAGTTTAAATGCATAAATATTGCGAAGTCGAGTTACGAATTCGAATCCCGTAATAGTCCAAAGTATTACTTGATATTTGTATTTTATTTGAAATTATACATATTGGATTAAGATTATTCATAAGCCTATAGAAAGAAGGCATCCGGACCTATAATTTTTATGAAGAGTCCAAGACCAAAATCGATCACCATCTAATGTGAAATCAATCAAGAAATTCTAGCACAGAACTTGAAATCCTATTCAGCCATAAAGCCTAATTAATTTTGGACACAATCCAAAATAGGACTTGTGGGTTGTTATATCTATCTATACATATATCTAAATAGCCTCTAAAATTATACATTCAGAACACATCTCATTAACAAGAGAACTTATTTAGTTTATGCAATTTTATTGGAAATGCATGCACGGCTAATTTCCTTTTTTGGTTCAAAAGAAACGTGAAATTCGAAGAACAAGCTTTGCTGTCTCTTATTCTTCCACATTAATTAAATAATATTCTTACTTTTAATTGCTTAGGAAGCTTTCTAGATAATTGTGATCAATGAATAATTATTAGATTAGGGTTTATAACACGTAAATTATAAGACCTATTCGTAAGTAACAGTAGAATTTAGTGATTTTTATTATTGATATCAATATAAGCATAGAAAAAGAAAATGTAGATTAAACCCACCTAGCTGTATGTTGATTATATGTCCACAAATCGTGTATATCTTTCCTTTCAAAAGAGGTATCCTCAAGAATTCAATTTGCAAAAAGGAAGAACTAATATATATAGGAGAGAAAGGACGAGTAGTATCTCCAATATTTCTTGTCTGAAGATGTAAATTACCAAGGAGAAACGGAGAATCTGGATAACATGCATTGCCATTGTCGGGCATATAACGGATAGATAATGAAAGAAAGGTGCAAAGTTCAGCCCTTATCGTTGAACCCCTCAACCACGTGATATCTTCTTCTGAAAAGGAATCGTAAAATTCCGTAGCATCTGTAATTTTGTATGTAAAGGGGAAGTTGTTAAAAATAAAATAAAAAAGATTATCATGTTGTCCTTTATTCCACACTTGAGTTAATTAATTAATTATATGAGAAAAATAGAATATATACATTATCAAAAAGGCTACATATTTTATTGGATCCTGTAAATGAAAACCGATGTTGGAGTAAATTATTCTACCTTGGGAATTGAATTAAGATATATAGAGTGTTGTGGCTTTGTCCAAAGCTTAGAGGGTATTATGCTAATTTTTCACAAATCGTTCAATAAAAAAAATTGACTGGCGATAGCCTCACAAAATCATTTATCATAAATCATTCGACAACAAATAAAATTCTGCTGATAATGGCAACACAAGTCATGTCTCACAAATTGTTCAATAACGAACGAAAATCGACCAGCAATAAGCTCACAAAATCATTTATCACAAGTCGTTCCACAACAAACAAAAACTACCAATAATAGAAACACAAGTTATTTTTCATATAAAATTCATCAACGGCCAAAAAAACAAACCAATGGTGACAAAACAAATCATTTTGCATATAAATTCGTCAACATACCAAAAACAAGCCAATAGTAGCATCGCATCATTTTAAACAAATCATTGAATCTCATAAGCCTAAAAATTAATTAATCACATAACTGTTTGGAAAAGATTGTATTAACAACCAATTTTAATTAATTCAATTACACAAGGGAAACACATGAT